ACTCGATGGCACCTGACAACAACAATAACATGAGAGATGCTGTTTGGTCATCTTGGTCTCCAAGGAGCACTCTGGCTGCACTTCTTCCAAAATGGATCTATTGGTTCTTTTATTTTTCTCAACAATAGATATAGTATGAGCTTCAGTCATGTCTCTTATAATAGCTATATAATAATCTCTGTCCCCTATTTTTCCTCCCTTCATTTAGCACATATTTACTGGTCACTTATTCAGTCATCTGCTCTGTAGGATAAGCACTCGACCTCAAGGTGAGTTTGAACTGCTGCTCAAGGTCAGTTTGAACTGCAAAGTCGGCAGTTCAAACTCACCAGCCACTTCTTGGAAACCCTATGAGTCAGAACGAACTCGATGGCACTAGACAACAACAACAATAATACTCAGGCATCACACACTGTGGCAGGATCTGGAGATATAACATAAAGATGAATTACACACAGTCCCTATTTTTCAAAAGTAACAGTCTGGAGGAAAAAAATGGTGCTGAGGCAATCATAAAAAAAATGGTAGGAGAGTTCAGGAGAGAATTGAACACTTCACTAAAAAAACGATTATTATGCAGAGCAAATGATAATCTGTTCTCAATTGACACACTCTCTACACTTATAACAGGTAAAATATTCAAAGCAAGAGATCTTTAAAGGGTTTTAGAAAGAAAAATAACCGAAAAAACAGAATACATTAGAACCTTATTTCTGAACTCTTACGTATTTTGAAGTTTATAAGCAAATTTTTCTAAATAAAAATCTTTCTAAAATTATCAGCAAAATTTTCTAAATAAATAATTCTGTTGACTATAATCTCAATAAAATCTAAACTTTTAGGGTTATTTTGATGTATTCAGTAAACTGAAAACAAAAAAAAAAGTAATATAATTTCAATATGCATAGATACTATACAACACAAGAATACTCTGGCAAAAAAAAATATGTGTCAAAAACAGTAAAACTTATTCAACTGGAGGGAGGTTGGCAGAGGAAAGATGGGGGTGGTAGGAGACACTGGGAAGAATGCAGTGATTGGAGTGAATAGCAGTAAATGCCCCCATATAGTGAAGCAAAGTATATGAGTTGTTGAATATAAAACTGATGATCTGCTCCATAAACCTTCACTCACTTCACAATAAAAAGTAAAACAATATGCCTGATATTTTTACTTAAAAGAACAGTAATACACAATATAAGAGTAATAACAAATATTATTTTCACATACCTTTATACTTTCTTGCTTGTGAGACTTAAATTGTTCACTCAGCTTAGCAATTTCTTTTTCTTGTCTACACTTAATCTCCTCTATCTCTGCCAATTTAGATTTTTCATTTGCTAGGTCTTTTTCTATCAGTGACTGTAGAAAAATAATGATTAAAAACAATTTAAAAGCAAACATTTAACTGAAAAATTAAAGATATCAAAACATTTTTTACACTGGCTCTGCCCCTTCCCATCTAAGTTAACTTGAGCAAATTACCCTCTCTTAGGACTATTTCATTTTTCGTTCAATGTGAACATAAATAAGATTATGTTGAGGATTAAACAGCTACAGTTAATACTGTAAAACTGAAGAGTGGCTGGCCAGAGTATGAAAGCTGTAAAAGTTGGCCATAATCCCTCTGTCAACACTACCGTTAGTATCAGGCACTGAGTCAGAACATTACATTTGATCACATTTATTATCAGTTTTTATTCCCATTTTATAGGCAAAGAAACCAAGACTTAAGACAATTGAAACGATCTCGGTATAGATGGAGCCAGAACTCAAACAAGTCTGTTTGATCTAAAGCCCTTGCTAAACTCCTATACATTATTGTTCTTCAGGCACAAATCTTGAATTTCACTCAATTTTTACCATCTTCACCACTACAAAAATATCCCAAATGTTTTCTTAATGAAAGAGATTTTCAGGAATTGTGTGATTTAGAATATACCAAGACCTTTAGGCATTATACACTTGAGACTAAGAGAAGCCCTGGTGGCATGGTGGTTAAGCACTTGGCTACAAACTAAAAGGTTAACTATTTGAACGCAGGAGGCATTTCATGGGAGACAGATGTGGCAGTCTGCTTCTGTAAACCCTACGGGGTGGCTCTACTCTGTCCTATAGGTTTGCTATGCGTCAGAATTAAGTCGATGGCACACAACAACAGAAATAGATGGTTTCAATTATAAATCCAAAGATAACATGTTTCCGAAAATCTGACTTTCTCTTTCATATAGAATTTAAGATAATTTATTTTTAATGTACTGATTCTATAAACCAATGCTTTCAACTTTACAACTTAATATGTTTTACTGTAATATAAGTGTATCTTTTTAAATACACCCCTAATTCCCTATAAGGGAGTCCTCGTGTGGTGCCATAGGATAAGCACTCAACCTCAAAGTTGATTGGAACTAGCAGTTGCTCAGAAACCCTATATAGGGTCACCATGAGTCAGAACTGACTCGATGGCACCAAACAACTTACAAACAACAAACTTCCTATCAGGAGCCCTTGTAGTGTAATGGATTAAGATCTGGGCTGCTAACCACAAGGTCAGTAGTTTGAATCTACCAGCTGCTCCATGGAAGAAAGATGACATTTCTGCTCGTAGAGATTTACCACCTCGGAAACTCTATTGAGGGTCACTATGAGTCAGAACCGACTTGGTGGCACACAACCACCACCATCCCTCCTCCACACAGAAAATACTGATGCTTATTTTAAGAATTCTTAACAAGCTTACATATTATTCCTAGATATATTATTCATACATCTAGGGAATTAAATGTTAATTAAGAAATCCCTGAGAGGCTATGATGCTACCAAATAATCAAAAGTCTCTGATGAGAAAACACATTTGCTTGAAAATTTAAATGAGAAGAAATAAAAAAATGGATAGAAAGGAAGAGGCTGTTAAAAAGTACTTCTTAGAATTAAAGTTTCTATGATCAAAACTTCTTTTATCAGAAACTCCAGGTCTACCTGAAAAGGTAGGGGAGAGCTGTACTGGGTAAGGGATGGTCCTCATGACAACTGTATGCTACGATTCTAGACTGAAGTCAGAAAAATGAAATACCTTTTCTTTTTTAATATCTTGCAGTGCTTTACACTGGTCCTTCAACTGTTGCTCCTTCTTAGATGAATCTTGCTCCAAAGTAGCCTTGGCAGTCTTTAGTTCTTGAATCAATTTATTTTGGTTTCCAATTTGATTTCGGTTTGAAATCAAGTCTTCCTGTGCTAGAGAAAGCTTCTCTTCTACAGACTTATAAACACAATTTCCATGAGTTAGTATAGGCTATTTTTCTCACAAATTTCAATAATAGCTAATATAAGCATTATAGAAGGATAGACCTTCAGAAAGATCAAGCAAAGGCAAAAGAATTCTAGATTATTAACCCTTTTGTATATGGAAAACATTTACACTATAAAAATGAAATCTCTAAGACAGAAGCAATTGTAGAACTCTGAAAACTCAATTTTCAAATATTTACTGAATGCTTACCACATTTTAAATGAATAATGGCTCTTTGTCACAAACAACAACAAGGTGGTATGAAGGGATATCCAATCAATTGAGACCATATTAAATACACTCAGAGAACACTAATGATTAGAGGAGAGACAAAGGGAACCATAAAAGAAAATCATTTTTAAAAATAACTGTTACAAGTTATATTCTATGTACCTGTATGTCTTCTAAGATCTACAATAGCCCTTGACATGCTAAGAATCTTTAATAAGTATGATGTGATTTTTGTCTTGGGGAAAAAACAACTATCTTTCACATCTACCAACCTGGGAATAGGGAAAATAACAAAGAAAAGTTGGGCATACAACTGAGGTTCTAATCCTGAGAAGGGCTTCACCCCATCATCGAACCTTTCCATCTGTGGGGTTGTTAGGAGTGACTGCTCATATTTCTTCAGTGTTCTGTTGTAGCTATTGATTTTTGTCTACTCAGTGAGTTTTCCTATTCTATCAAAGTAAAACCTTTAACTTGTTAGTTACTGCTTTTTCTTGCTGTCTGATGAAATGACAGAATGGACAGTAATAACTAAGAAGACTGACATTTTATTTCAAACTTATCCTAGAAATTTCACTTAACTTGGGGTATAAAGTTTAGTTGAATTCACATCTACCTTTTCTTAACAACAGAGCATATTCAATTTGAAACATTTACTCAACAAACAAGCATTTCTCAAATAATCCAGCAGATGGTGCTAAAGGCAAAGATCAGGTCCAACTAGCTATTGGTCTCCGGGTTTCCTGAAGTGTACACTTAACTCACAGTCTGGACTCAAGTTGGGAGGAGTCATGCTACCAGGTTCGGAATCTCTTTCTTTTATATAGAAAGATCATAAAACATCACTGAGGCAAAAGACAATTAATACCCGTCTCTTACTCTGATCTTTGATTGATTGATGGAATAAAAATTGAAATCTTTTAAGAAAGTGAGGCGGCACAGGAGGCACTCACTCATCTCTGCCAAGAAATTTGGAAGACAACTATCTGACCCACTGATTGGAAGAGATCCGTATGTGTGCCCATTCCAAAGAGAGGTGACCCAA